ATATATAAATTGTCTCATTAGAGAAACGTTTAGAGATCAATATGACTAAAAAAGATCAAGTACCAGAATTTAGCTTATTTTAAAGTTTTCATTCTAAAAGCTAATTATTGAAAATACGCACATATGCAATACAGATCCAGAACAATTTCTGTATTTGTAGAAGTACGCGGCACGTAATGACCGATGGTTCCTTAAAGGGGTGCTTATAAATTTGTACACGCCTTTTTCCTAAAATATCCTATTATTGTTGTTTCTATATAACATCTGTGGAATATAGCTATATTCCTGATGACAAGACTGGTTATACCCTTCTGGTGCGGCCGTTAAGCTAAAAAAAAACTATATATTTCTAATAATATAGAGCACTGCTGCTTATATGGTACAGTGAGTTCTCACTTTAAATAGAATGATGTCCAAGTAGAATAGTAGCAATGATTTAGTAATTTTTCGTACCTCAGTTTCTAATCAGACATGTGCACAAATCTCAAACTAGGAACCTCTTAATGACAAAAAGTACATGATATCTTTAAATTCGTACAGAAAGCATATTCAACTTAACGTATAGAGCTTGCCTTTATTCGCCGGCTGTCCCAGTAAGCAGCTTGATCTATCGGTAAGCCAGAAAGCGTTGTCTGTTATTTTTGAAATAAACATAAATAGTATAAACCGGTGCATATACAGAAGGGGAAGTAGATGAACTTATAGAAGAAAGATATGCTTCTACGTAACTGAGAGGCAGAAAAATATCGGTCGACTGTTAACAAAAAGGAGACTCATACTGAAAGAATCGAGGACTAACCAATAAAAGGCTTAATTCTATAAAAAAAAAGCATAGTATTAGCTCGCGCCGAGTTACCTTCAGTTAGACTAGCAACCATTATGGAATAAAAAATGCTAGTCTCCACCGATAACGTACTTAAGTGAAAATACTTAAAGAAAAATCCTTGAAGTATATTGCCGTTTTTTTATTTCTTAGTTGTACTTGAATTATTAAAAGATTTACTAGAAGAAAGAATTATTAATATCGTTATGTGTTTGAATAATAAATGTGTTCACGAGCTGCAATGTTATCTGTAATGACATACAAGTTTAGTTGAAATACGTTCGCATGTTGTCCGTTTCTCCGATGATATAACTATAACTCATCATTCACCAGAATAGGATATTCATTTCGCAAGGGCAATTTTCAGCCATCCGCTGTGCTTCTGAATTCTTACCTAGATTGCCTTAGGCCCCTTAGTTTACGGTCGCAGATTTTCATAGACAGAACAGTATTGCACATGCTTCAGATGCGACAAATATCGGCATAACTATGCAAAAGTCTAGAAGTCAACCCCAGCAAGGCGACGTCGGGCGGTTTCGATCAGAAGCTCAGTGGGTCGTCCACATTTGTTATAGTGCTGACGGCAAGCGGTACGATTCCGAGATGTGGATCCAGTGGCTGAAGCGTTCTTGTACGACATCCACGGGGCAGCGGGATCCGAAGGGAGACTGGTCATGAATTGGGTGACGTCTGCAAATTTTGTTCCCGCCAGCTCCGGCTGAACAGCCAGCTCGCAAACTAATCGATGCACACAGCGGTCTGAGTCGTACGTCTGAATATATGTGAAAATGCTACTCAAAGCTTCTACGGTAAGTTGATCGTCAACAGTATAAGCGCTGCGACGTTTGCGGTATATCGGTTCTGGCAATGGCGCTGGGACATATGCAGGTGCCGACGGGGTATAGGCCGGGGGTGCTGGAGTATAGGGGGATGGTAATGGGGTATAAGCCGGGGCAGGACGAGGCGCCATTGTGTGCCGCTGATCGTATAAAGGCTCTTCTGATCCAGATTCTGCTTCGGGTTCGGCATGGTTACGTTTGTGGTCGCGTTGAATTTGCACGGTGATCTTTTTCATTGGAATGCTGATATTATTGAGAAGATTTCTCGACTCACTGAACAGAGTAGTTGTAGGCAGAAGTGTCGCTTTTAAGATGCCCATCTTCGGCCTGGTTTTATAAGCAGCTAGGCCTGCCTTAGCACCAGCCGTCGTTCCAGCCAAAGCTCCCAATTTGAAGGCGGTAAGCTTCACGGGCAGTTGAATCAAGCCCATCTTGGCCTTACCAACGGTAGAAAGTGCAGTTCTTCCTAGTCCATACTTGGCCCTAAGCAGGCCAAACTTTGCAGACGCAATATTCACCGGTGATAGGAGGGGCACTTTGGTAAGCAGCAGCTTAAATTTAAGAAAGCCCATTCCTTTTAGGGCGAGAAGCATCGGAAGCGACAACTTTAGAGGGCCTAGTGCGGCAAATGGCAGCAGCAAACCAGCCGGCAAAATAGTGGTCACTAGCCTAGATACGGCATCGCCAAGTGCCGTGACGCCCTTCACGGCACCTACTATACCAGCAAAATGGGTACTAGCCGTTGTGATCGCCAGCAAACCGAACACCAAATATAGCAAGCGCATCTGAAAAAAAGAAAGAAAATGCTAAGAATTAATAATCAGAAGTCAAAATTGTTATGAGTTGAAAGCCAACCAAATGATAGTGAACCGTATTGCAACTATGTAACGGCTGGTGTAACCATAGCTACCAATCGAAGCGTTGGTACGTTTAATGCAGTGTGCAACAGATTCCACTAAGAAAAGCAACTGAATGACCTGCCTTTGAGACCGCGCTCTGTTCGGCCGCAAGATTCAGAGTGAGATCTCCGTTGGAGTCTGCCATTATTTAAAGGTGAAACTCTCTTTCCTTCTAACGCGGGAAGCACAATTCGTCATGGGTCGTCTCGCCCTCAACCCCAAGCCGTGCATCCCTCGCGCAGTGGCTGGGGTACGTCTACTGTACCGTCAGGATTCGAGGAAACTAGCGCGCTCTCTTGGGGTCGTGCAGATACCGTGGCACAATGGTAGGATCATATCATGTCTGTAAAGACTCCTACGTAGACTTTCAATATCTTAAGTCCCGTTCGAGGACTTGAGGTCACCCGAATGCGGACGAACAGATCAGTTAGTTCCACTCTCGGCGCCATGCTACGGCAGGCCACGGAATCTTTAAAACTTAATCGTTCATCATGGCTTATAGGGAAAAAAACGAATCATTTTAAAAGGCATCATACATACAATGGCATGTTAACAACACTGAATAAAGACATGTAGCTTAAGTATTTGACTACTACAATTATATGAGGCTCCGATGTAGTTTGCGTCCGAAAGGATTCGCTTAAGCTAGAGTACGACGGTAGCATACTACCTGGCTTTCACAGCTTTTCTCATATATAGAAGTTAGCTTTCGAGTATGATGACCTATCCACCTACCTGCTACCCACATAACGCGTAACGCTACATAGTATGGTATATTGCGGGACAAATTCGAAAACTGCGACGTGGACTCGCACCGCACGAACCAAAGGGTACGCCATCTCCGTCTGATGATGCAGTTATACCTTAAACAGTGCACAAAATGAACGCAGGACAATTTCTTGTAGATTCACAGGTTGTTTCTTCAAGGCAACAATGTAATTTCTCCGGTTTGTTGTCATAATTCACTTCGGATAGATCAAGCTGCAATTCGTTTACCCAATTGCAACGATGAATTTAAACATTTTAAATAGTAAATGGCATAGCTTCCGTAATCGTAAACTCTGGTGATTTGTAGATCTATAGCGCTCTGGAGCGTTGCCTAATCGTTAGGAGATTATGAATGATGCAGCGAGCCGGCGATCCGAGAGTAGTATGAGATCACGGCGAACCATTAGGCAAGCGTCCTTATTTTTAGACCATGATCATAGTTCAATTAAATATTCAGTTGAGTAGTTAAGTGTTCCAATCCCTGTTGTATAGGACTTCCACCCAATGACCTCCTTGTTCATTCAACTAATGGCCTTCATCACTCTACTGTGCTTTAAGCCGATGTCGATTCTCCCAAGTTTCACGTATGACTTTACAAAAGCCTCATAGCTGCATGGGTCTCCTCCGATCCTAATGTCTGATCTTGCCGCCCTGAAAGCGTCTATTAACGGTTTCGATAATGCACAGAACAGATTCATACAAAATCAGTCATGATGAAATTCAGGTTACAACCATGTGATGATAATGAAGTACAAAACACTGGATATATAAATAGGTAAACTTAACTGACCAAGTTGAAATAGTTTCGCCATGTTTTTTTGATGGCGAGCTGATGGGACGTATAACATATGTTATGAAGCAAATATGAAATATATTTTTTGGTTAATTCGAAAACCTCTAATCTCCTTGTCCAAGTCCTATATATATATATATATGTATTGAAACAATGAAATTAATCTACACGACTCAAGTTATATTTGGTTATTTGCTGACCTCACTTTGGCTGACAAAGTTACCCCTTTTCCCTTTCCACATAGAAATAAACAAAAGTCTATTTTACACTTTTTTCGCGATTTTTTCTCGGTCAATAAAGTTAAGGCAATAATTGACAAAAATATTCATATGCTAACCTTACTGACGGCTGTATCCATAATCTTGCTTGAACATTCATAAAAAACATGAGTAAATAAAAGAAAAAAGTAACACTAAAAGGTTATTCAAGCGGCTAACGAAGTGCCGCATAGTAACTGCGATCCGATGTAACAGCACTCTGACCTCCAGAGAAATTACATTATTATAAAATTGTATCACTCTGATGAATCCTGTACTGCTGAAATTGCCTTTTACAGTTTTGAATTATTGCTTGAAATTTTTTTACTACAGCAAGTTGGAAAACTTCCGTAAGAGGTTTTTGCGGTCGACCTCAGCGTTATCAGGTACTATTACTAAGACTCACGAAAATCCTTCGCTTAGACCTGTCCTAAGGATATGCGCAGGATACGCGCAGACCACGTATATTTTCAATTCAAAATTATGTGAGGCACAGGAGAAGTTGTGCCGTGCTTAACGGAAAGTCTATGAGAACTATCTAATTTAACTATCGCATAATTAATATGAATCTGTAGGTTGGAAATCAACATTGCAGTAAAATGTCGAAACCACACTGGTTTAAACGTGTGCATCGAAAAACAATATTTATCCATACGTTAGTAGACTCAAATTTCTTCTGAAAAAATCAAGACACACTTTGTACATCTGCCCAATCTATTTAAAGCAAAATTCAATTGTAACATCATCAAAACTGTCGATTAATGCAGCAACAGAGAGAACAAAAACATATATTTCTGAAGAACAGAGCCTCAAAGCTTCTGAGCATGAAAAGAGAAGGCAGTTTATGAAAAAGTGAAATTTCACATTGCGCTTAACTTCGAAATCGTAGAAACTTAGAAATCGCGTAGTGGGCGGTGGATCTAATTGAAAAATCATATCTAAAGCACGAAATCAACTGGGTCAGTGGTACTCGTAATCTCATATGTCTGGATTCCATTCACGGCTGATGACAATGCTATTCAAATAATTCTATTCAGACGCGCTGAGATAACTGAACCTTCATTCAAAAACGAATTTTACCATTGGCTTTTTGAGGTTGTCTGCATCCGTCTAGTAAACACATTTGATTTAATCTTTCACTTGTATTAGCTCCGATCTCCGTTAATTATTACTGTAGCCTGATTGGAGCCTTTTACCGATGCATCTATAGCTACAATCATTTACTAAACTCGGTGGCCACAGAAACAGCTGCCCCCTTTTAGCGATAGGCGGTGAAGCTGTCGTTCCCGTTTGGACTAAACCATCTTTTCGAAGTGATATGCTTATTACAGTGCAAAGTTCAACGTGCCCCTTTCTGACTCTACTGCAGCGCTTGTGATACACCAGATCTATTCGACATGTTTCGACAAGCAAACTCATAAGAGCTGTGACGAACAGACGAAAATCGGGTGTCGGATTGAGCCAACGGGGGCGACCTATGGGAAGCGTTCGTATTGGAAAGCAGCTGTTGAAAAAGCCGCTTCATGTCAGTCTCGTTCCGTTGAAGTACCGCTTCCGAACGGAATGAGAAGTTAATATTGTTTGTTACAGATCGCAGCGAAGTGTCTGCAGAGATTTTTCACTTCGGGCAGGCTTGTAAGCGACTGTACCTCAATGCTTCAAAGCGGGATTAATCGATGACCCGCCGTTCGGTGGTTCGGAGACTTTAGCATTTGCACATGTGACTCACTGACGCGCCAGCGTAGACTAATTGGCTTCGTTTACACGAGGGCAATCACGTTGACCAAGCATGTTGCAGTCGCGTAAACATAGCGGGATTATACTACTGCACAAAGATGGAGTGGGCACCTTCTGCTGGCGTAGTTACCAACGTGCTATCTTCGATAGATAATGAACTCAAGCAATTAGCGTATTAAGTGAAAAAGTAAAAGATGAAAATGGCGCTTGCGATATGCATTATGTATATAGTATTGAACGTAGAAGATTATTCAAAGAACTCAATAGATCCCATAGTGTGTCAAGCCTGTAATATTCAATTGAGTATTTAGCCGCTTTAATCAACCTAGAGAAAGTGCAGTGCGACCTAAAAAGTGAGAAAAATGTATCTTACCTTAACGATAAGTTCAAGAATAACTGAAATTACATACTCATTACCAGAGAGATATTGTTAACATGCGTTTTCATGAATACGACGTATTGTATATACCGTGTATTAGGCGCGAATTTTTTTCATGTAAGTAACCCTAAGCCAGATACTAACTCATTTCTACGATGAGCGCTGTGTCATCATACATTCGCAAATTGTTTCATTTAGAGTTACTGGTTTGCTATTTAACTTTACAACATGTACATGTTTACAATGAAAAGTACTAACATCTGTTGTTATCGGCTACTAATCACTGTCTCATCATTTGATAAAGTGTGTTTTTTTCCACATCAATTATAAACCTAAATAGTTCTTTCGAATTTTACATCTAGTACTGCTATTAAGCATAGCTCTTTGCAATCATAAACCTGTGTTTAAAATGTATGACTATTTCAGCGACGCTTATTTTCCAGTCGGTAAGCCAGATACTGTTTTTGTTGTCGAAATACGCACTGGACATATATAATTAGTTGTATTATTCGGAGTTCCCTCCAATATTTATAGAACAAAGTGCAGCTCATATCTTAAACACTGGTACGACACTTAATTATTTTCTATAGATATCTTCAATCGAGCTCGAGGCAAAGGAAATGGCTATCTATAGTAATGTTATTTAAATTTGTTTTACATTTCTACTTGGCATTCATTTAAACTAAAAAAGTATTTTCTTTTTAATATAAAGGCAAATTGTTCGCCCCCTGCGTTGAGATGGGCCTTGTTGCGTAGGATAATTGCCTCATACACGAGAAATATATTCAATATCGTATATATAAATATGTAAATAAAATTAAAGCAAAACTGATCTCCTAGTATAGTTTTGGATTTGAAGTTCATCAAGCGCTAAGCAACTTTGTATGAGTAATCTTTAAAGAGCTTTTCATCTATAAAAATAATAAATGCATGTATCAATCAAAGTTGTTGCATCATTCCGAGCTGAATTGCGGACGATCCATTTAATTTCGGAGAATGAGGTTTTTGGGAGAATGAAGAAGAAAATATTTTTTATAGCAATTTAAATGAAAAAATAATAAGCATATCAGCTTTAACTTCACTCGTATATTCTTTGCTACTTTGTAAGTAAACACAAATAATTAACGGTATCGAATTTTCCATTCATTAGATGTTGCCTGTTTGTTGTTTTAATGTGTACAGTTAAGGAAAAGAAACATTTTTTCTGTAACCACGACAAAACTTGCTCAAAAAGTCTTAAGTTGGTGCCCCGTACGTATCGTAGTTTACTCAATTTATGTAGACAACTCGTTTAAATAGACTAGCCCATAATTTTCATAATTGAATATTGCCGGGGTTCCGGGATTCAGATCACCGAAGGTGTGTGACGCGCGAAAGCCCCAAATTCCAACGAAATTGAATTTGTCACTGCCTGAAAAATTGCTTTTGCCAATATAGTACGATATATACAATGACTAGGCCTTTTAATCTCTCAGATAAGTGATTCCAATTACTGGTCATAGTAGTATGGCTCCTTTGTATCCCTATAGATAAACAGGTACAGCATGTATCACCTTATACAGCTTTGAAACGTCTTTGCTTTAATATTCTACTAAACCTACTGCCTATCGCCGCGTGGGTTTCGCCGCAAAATTCGATTTCCTAACATATTTCTTTCATTCTTAAAATCACTCATGGCTTCATCGCTACCTCACGTTTAAAAACAATGCATGAACAGTGTCTGCAAGCTGAACTTTTATCAGAGATCACATTAAACATATTTGCTAATAAATTTGTAAGAATTTAGCAGTGTACTCAGATATATTTTATAAGTCTCTGTAACTCTTACTAAATTGTAAAAACTTCCATATTATATATATATATATATATATATATATATATATAAGCACCTTTAAATGGATACTGTTTATATCTAATATATCGTATATTATATTTGATACAAGATTTATGTGTTACTTAATTAAATAATTACATAAATCTGCACTTGTACATATAACGGAAAGCAGAATAATGCGCTTATTATTTATCCTACTAATGTCATCGGCTATGTCAAACAATATCAGAGACTGGTTAGAGTTACAATTCAATGTTTAGTTTGTGTGCCGGCAATGTGCACGGTAAAATTCTACCCTGTATAATGAGCCTTCCCACTCGATCTGCAATATGTAATAATAAGATTTCATACAAGTAGTTTTGTTAGGCGACAGTAAGCATTTTATTCTATTTGGGAAGATAATCGATTTTAAAATAATTTTGCCAGTAGGTGCTAGGATCCCGTTATGGCAAGTTTGAATATCCATTGCTATTATTTTCACTTCGTAGCACGCAAGTAAAATCTTTATTTTACTGACTGTTTTGGCATTATCACGATGTTGTCGGTATAATGATGCATTTCTTTCGAAGGCAGTCTCTTTTAATTATAATCGTTGTTCCAACGGTACTTCAGCCTCATATTTTGGCTTTAAAGAAGTGAGATTGGTGGTTTAAGCCCCATACTACGATATATGTTATTGTAACCCAAAGTGCCGTTGACATCATCTAATTTTTTAAAAACTTTATTAGCAGAATGAACGTTTAACACATAAAATATGATTATGAACGATTAATAAATTCTACAGATATTATCTCAGAACCTTCATTCTGATATTATTAGATAGATTACGAGTTATCTTTTTAAGATAATTAGTTAATATGTTTATTTTATGGTAAAAAAGTACCCCATTCACGCACTACTTATCCATATTCAGCATCAATTAGCATGGTTTTCTCAATTCTTTAAAGTATCTTTAATAATGTTTTTTTTCTTATGAAAACCATCCCCAATTGTATCTTATTTATGCGATAATATAAACGGTTTTTACAAGCGAATAGTTATAGGCACGACAAGCCTCAGCCACTTTTCGCGCGCAAAGAAATCGTTGCCGCAACTCAAAACAGGAAAAACGATAATCCAGCCATAAAAATTAAATGAGATTTCTCCGTCCAATCGGCTTTTGGTAAATATACATGTATTGAAAAAGAAAAAATAGGCATCCAGCTATAATCAATAACACGTGTCAAATAGTTCAGCATCGTTGACGACGAGAACGTTTTCTTAACCCCAATAAAAATGCACACACAGTTGGTAAAATGTGTAGAAATCGTTATCGTGTTGTTGTTATCTCTGTGTCGTAGAGCATCTGTTTTGTTTCTATTCTAGTATCGTCTTTTACGGAGACCCTCTCACCAATTTCGGAGTGCTTTTTAACAACTTATCACAGCATATAGAAATTCTGTTATGCTCGTTTACTAACGTTCGCTATATGTCACACCGCTTCTTTTCTATCGTTAATCTCTGTCAAGATGCCTTCAAGTTCGTTTGGTTTTCAAGTAATGCCCTTCATAACATACTTGACATTGATTTATTTCACACTCTATTAAAACGTTAAATCCCGCCATCTGCTATTGTAAATAATAACACCACTCGAAAATAACAATAGCCTTGTCGTCTGCTAGTCTTCCACCGGGCGTTTCTAGTTGTCTGCAAGAGGTTACCGGCGCGTTGAACATTCGATCCTTTTCACGGCCTCAACTGTCATGGCGGCGCCCATGTCAATATGATCACACTTCGTGTTGCGTTATGTGCGTTCTGTTTGTGTTTTTGTTAGTAGTCTGCACAGCAGCACAGCCGGGAGCTCGAGCAGATGGGCGACTGACTGTTGCTTGTCGAGACATACACGCTAGTATTTTGTCTGATGGTGTGTCGTGCGTGTCGGAGACGAACGCATCAGAAATTTTTGGTATTAAAGTTTATTTTAGTTTTTGTAATTTCATGTATCAGCCTGCAGGCCGCTCTCGTATCAACTCCTGTAGGCAGATTACCTAAGGAGTTGGCTAGCGTACGTGGGAATTGTTGTTGGTCAATTGTGACCTGCGGCGCGTTGTATTATCGCGTCGAAAAAAACACCAATACCATAGCGGCTTGGGGGTATGGTGCTGCAGGAAGTTGTAGAACGAGCAATATTATTAGTCGTAGTGGAACGTGAAACGATAGCCGAACAACCTCGTATTTTTCTTCGTTTTCTGTGCTTAGCGTGCCTATCAGTGTTGTGCTGAAAGTGAGACCGTGTAACTAGGAAAAAAATAAAAGACAGCTCGCTTCCTGTGCATGCAGCGATGATCAATTAGTTAATGGAAACGGTGTGTATATAGGGAAAGGGGTTTGCCAGTGGATTTCCAGCCCCGCCCGCCGTTCGCCGGGTTTACCGCAGGTTTAGCCCGTGCCACTGCTTGCGTGTGCAATTGTGGACCAGTGACGGGTCCGAATCTGTGATTGGTGCATGCGACCGTCAGGAACAAGTGCTCGCAGAGATTTACTCTCTGGCAAATACCTAAGGATAGCTATATATCATTTTTGCAACACAAAGTCAAGTAAAATTTGTCGGCCGAATTTATGGTGACGTGCAAGCCGCCTGCGAAAATGTCGCCACCAGAAATACGTTTCAAGATGCCGAATTGGTACTACGATAAACAGGTGAGTGCCACTTGACGACGACGAAAGTTTGCTGCATCGGACCGTGCTTATCGTCACAATATATTGCGAATTTGATAAAACCTGCAGCATTCAGTAGAGATACAGCTAATGTAGTTTTCTCTTATCTAGATGTTTGCCGCCGAAAGTCGTTGGTCGTCTTGCTCTCCGCTTTATTTCACTAATATTATAAAATTCATCCCATGCTGCTTTTCTATAATTTGTATTTTTTTTTGAACAAATAGCCATGCGACGTAACTACCTGACAGGACTTCGTATGTTCTATATATGCCTACATATAAATTTGGGAACTAGGAAGTTACACAATTTGAGTAACCACCGATTACCCGAGCGATCTGCTTCGGCGTGAGTACATTGCAAGATGGGCAGCGATTTCGATATTTTCCGGTTCGTTTTTGAGTAAACTGTGGATTTTACTAGTAAGCTAACCTTAATTAAATCTCTGCCAAACCAATGACATCATAGGATATTTTCGCAGAGTATTTATAATATGGAACCGCCCACCACAATAATACATGGCTAGGTGTTCAGTAGCAATAACTAAAAGTTGGAAGTTAACGTGGAAATAAAATTAAAAAAAAAAATAATAATGCGATTCAAATCAGTATTTTTTATTTACTTTGTCACCTGAACCTTATGTAAGCGCATAGTGTAATCGTTTAATAGCAATTGTACAACAAGGAAAGCCCGCAAACCTACTATTTGGAGCAGGCAACCCATAATATTTTTTGTTTAGGTTTATTGTATAGGTTTTGTAATATTTGTTGTATAGGTTTTTGCCCAAATGTGGGGTAATTCAGCTTTCACAAATTTATGGTAGGCTTGTAGTTTTAAGTGTTAGTGTGTCTTTTAGCTTTAATAGCTTATACGATGTTGAACATACGTTGGGGCAAATTCACACGAATGGCCAAGACCCAAAAAAGCTTCTGAATTTTACTTGAAAACACAGTTAAAGCATGTTTACTTAGTACATAGGCTTCTCTATCCACAAATAGTATATTCAGTGTGCTATTACCCCTAAATACACCAGGTTTGCTACGCTTCCTTAATCGTAATATTGATAAAATCATCTTCGTCCCCAGAGGCCTCAAATTTTATTTCTAGCTGAATTCAGTGTATATATTTAGGACTTCGTACAGACCGCGCTTTTCATAAGATCTGTTTAACAGTTGGATCCAAACAGTGAGTTGAGAACAAGGTTTCTTCAGCTCATTGACTGCATTTAATTGGAAGTTGCATACATCCGTCTAGCAAACATCTCTTTCGAAGGAACCCGAAATTATCGAACACTTCTATTTATTCAAGATGCGAACGATTATTCGTGAAATTATTCTGCTAAGCTCATCAGGAAGAGACTGCGACAAGATTTACCATTTGCAATGTCTATTTACAAATATAGAAAGACGGGCCAGGAATGTTTATTTTAGATCTAAATAGCCAGTTTCGTTCTTATGATTAATTATCGTAAGTATTTTTTAATTCTACGATGTCAATAGAGTATATAGCAAAACACGCTTTCCTACGCCTTAAATTTAGTTATCAAGGTTAAATTATAGTGGTGACCATTTTTGCGGTGCGCTATACTTCCAGGCATTACGTGAGACGCCATCCTTTCTGGATGGCATATCAAACGTGAAGGAGATGCGGTATCGACGGGAGGGTGCACGATTTATTATGAAAGTCGGCACTAAATTGGGACTTAAATGTGAGACCACGGCAAGCGGTATTGTGTACTTTCACAGGTGAGAAAACTTTTTACCTTTTGATCCAACGACCGTTACACAATATTGAAGATGTATAGCTACTGTAACAAACAGGAATGATTAAAACCTTGTCTTCATGATTATGGGTTCAGTCTGATAATGAATCGCTTGACGTACTTACCACTGAGGTAACACAGCGTCTATATTTAGGTACTTAAGGTAAACAGATTTCCACTGTTATCTCCTAAATGTAGATTTTTCGTTTACGATTCAAAGCCTGATAGACCGGTCATATATGGTAATGTGGTGTCAAATGAATACTTGATATATCTTAAATGTCACTGGTCTGGTTGTAGTCATCCTGGAGTTTTACGGTCCCAGATCGATTTGAGCTAAGAGTAGAAAACGCACGAAATGTACAACAAGTAGCATTGTTCTGAGCGTATAGATACATACTTTATTTTTTATTATCGAAATTTTTTGCTAATCGAATATTTTTTTCTTATTTATTGCAGTTTTCTTTTACACATTAGCATCATAAATTTCGTTCAAGAACAAAGCGTACCTCCTCCGGAGAATTTCATTGTTGACTGTGCTATTATTACTTAGACACTGCGGTGATTTTTTTTTATATATCTTAGGATCCTATGTCTTTAGAATATGTTCCGTAAAGCGCCAACTGTTTCTGTTAATCTCACAGTAAACCCGTACGTTGTACATCGCACCAAAGCTGCTTTGTCTTTTTTTTTGGTTTCGTTTGCTTTGGTTGGCGGCATTCACTCCACACAAATCTGTGGCTTTCAGTACAATTAACACACCTTTGGAACTGCTTTTTCTTCGCTTGAGATATTATATGTTATGGTAAAACGTTAGGAAATTTTGGTATCGCCCTATACCACCATAAAATCTACGCTTGAAGCGCGTGGAGCGTTTGCGTGCCGCATTTCTAGCTGTTTCTTTGTGCTTTGCGTCGCATCCAATTTCGCATTTTAAAATAATCGTTCCACCTGCAATAGTAATTGAGAATAAAGCAATTACTGACATTTTGTTGCTCTTTTCTTTCCAGATTCTATATGTTTCACAGCTTTAAACAGTTCCCGCGATTCATCACATCTTGTTGTTGTCTGTTCCTCGCTGGAAAGGCAAGTTGGATAGTCACACGCTTTTCCAGCAAAGCAGCATTTCTTGCTATTAACACACGCTATAAGTGCTGTCACATCACAGAATACAATACCTTGGATTAAAAACAATGGTAAATACAGCATTTACTGCCGGATCCGACCTGCACGAGGGAATCGCTGAAGTATTACAAGCGTTTGATGTATGTCTATAGGCAAAACGAAAGCCGCATACGAGATGACACAAGAACGCTAATAGTGCATATAGCGGTAAAATATTACCGTTGTATCTTTGCTTCAAACGTTAGCATGAATACGGTTATGCCGAGCATCACTGGTGCAGGTTCACTGTTTTTAAGTGATGACAAATGTTCAGGTCATTATGACACGAAATCGCTGTCATTTAGGAAGTTGTTTAGGTTTATACGTTACATTTATAGATGCTTTATGTGAAACGAATCACTCTAGCGGTAGCACAAACGCAACCCTGTCAAAAGCCATAATCTAATTCGCAGAATGCGACACCTACCGGAATATTTCGCGCACAGTGGATAGTCAGTTTATATTAAAAAGACGAGTTGATCGGCTTGTATGCTGTGGTCTGATATAAAATGTAAAGGTGCACACGACGCTTGTTACTGGTCAACTTTCTAAGCATAGTCTGATCGTATAGCTATCTTCAGGCATGAATAACAGCACGTTCTTAAGTCTAAGCAAATTCATAGTTGCGTCCATGCTTGCAAGCAGTAAGTCACTAGCAAAAAAACTCCAACCAAGATCCTTTAGCCCTAATAAAAAAGTAGTTGTTCTACATGAACAGTTATTAAAGTGATAGGATGATATGTAGCTTTCCAAAAGTTTGATCTCATGCTGTTTCAAGGAGATCCTTTCTAGAAGATATTTCATATAGAACAACAAACGAAGTGTGCATCAGTAGAACTATGCAGGATGACAACAGCAAGTTTCGCGTGCATTAATGCATAGGAATTGTCGAGTATCGCGCTCGTACAATACAAATATCGAGATAATCCTGCGCCCAATATTTCATGTTAACAACAGTTGTGTTCCTGTGCAGCTTAGTAATCCTTGATGGAACTGGTTGTGTATTAAATCATTATCGTCGTAAATAGTAGTTAGATACGCAAAAGGTTGCAGAAAACTTAGTTTCATATCTGTTTATCTGATTTAATTGTGCAGCGCATAACTGAGGCACCCCAGTTTCTCTATTCCTATAATGTTATGCTATAAACATGCAAGGTACTCTGATATTAGTCAATCAAAACTATTTAAGCATATTCTAAGGATAACATTGTAATAAAGTATTACAGAAATATATAAATGGTATCAGGCAGCCTCTTTCACAAATGTGTTGCACAGCTAAATTGGCTCTTTGATGCTATAATGTGCGAATATCCTGCTACTGAATAAAGTTAAGTAAAAATTCTACTGTCAAGAGACGCTTTCTTCAACTATGTAGAGATTTTCGCTTCTCTCCGTGTATTGCCAGTACAACAGTTTGTTTAAATCACAGTATTTTCGCTTTATCAGTGAACAATCGAATTATACAATACTTTGACGAACAGAAGTGCTTTTCACTGTACTCTATATCAACTACACGCTAATCCTCTAATGGTTATTCGAACAGGTAGAAGAAACTCCGAAAAAGTGCAAACAAATAATCTCGACGGCGAGTGAATTCCTTACGCAAAAGCAGTTAGAAACGTTCGGAGATGACCCGAAAGAAGAAGTAATGACCTTGGAGCGGATTCTTCTAAAAACGATCAAATTCGACTTGCAAGTAGCGCACCCGTACCATTTCATTTTGCGATACGCAAAAGGTGCGTATCATATATAATTTCAATCCAATAGTCACTATTTTTTTTTATACCAGCAAGGATGCCTAAAGAAGATATTAAACTCTTTTGTATATCTAATAATGTTTTTGTATCATTTGCTATTGAGGTGACGTGTAGCTTTAACTAATTTTCAAACCAAAGTACTACATTCCATCATATTTGTATTGTACTCAAATTTGAGATGTGGAAGTTAACTGTTTAACTTCTTCAAAAGATAAGTGCAAGCTTGGCTATGTGCATAAATACATATATGTCAGCATTATTAATACCGTACGGCGTTTTCGATTATTGAATTCTTTGTCAAATTTCCACAGCAATTCACGGCGACCGGGATACAATAGGGCAGATGGTGCAAATGGCTTGGACGTTTATCAACGACTCGTTACAAAGCACTCTATGTCTACAGTGGGAGCCGGAAATTATTGCAATCGCTGCCATCTATTTAGCAAGCAAATTATCCAACTTTGAAATTTCCGACTGGCAAGGTAACTTTAAGCGATTTGACATAATAAGCGATTGACACAAATTAATAATAAAAATGATTACACAATTTGAGCTCATTCGCATATTTTGCGAAATTCTCGAAAATGTAAGTCTGACATTTGGCGGTTATTTTGAATTCATCGTATTCGTTAAATAACATAAAATCAGTCTTCGCTGAAGGATATTAATAATCTTTATTGTTTGTGATGTATTTGGTTAAATTATTATGTTATTAGCGATCTGTATATCCTGAACAACAATAAGAACAACTCTTAGTGTTAATGGGTACGTCTCCTTACATCTTGTATAGCATGTGCCAAGGACATATCTATTTGTGTCTATCGTAGGCCGAACGTCAAGTCAACGTCGATGGTGGGAAGCGTTTGCTTCGGAGGTGTCAGTCGAATTGTTAGAGGATATTTGCCATCAAATATTAGATTTGTACTCTACAGCGAATCCAGACACTCCGCAGGATTCGCCGCCTGATGAGGAAGAAGTATGTCCAACGCCACCACGAAGACCTCCACAGAGACCGCCTTCGCCACTTAGTAAAAAGGTAAGACAGAAAAAAGAATATGTATATTGCAAATTATTAGACGCTAGAGAGCTAATCTCTGTTCCGCACACGCCGAGTCTCTATGAGTAACACTGCTACAAAAAGTAATAGCACACTTGCAGAAAGGACAAACAATGTAACTTCACGTTTTAGTGCTGCTTTAATCGTATGTAGCATATATCTTGTTATTAGTTGTCCCTCTTTTGGTCGATAAATAACTTTTATACTTTTTATTATTTTATATTAAGGAAAAGAAAGAAGAGCCTCATACACCCCAGGAAAGCAAAAACCTGCCGATGCCACCCATGCCACCCCTTGGAATGGTTCGTACTTACGCGATATACACATAAATTACTCATTTATTTTACAGTTGAAATATGGCTGAGTTTGTGCGCTTAATTATGAGGTTCTCATGTATCTAGGTTAGACAGAGAAAAGCATTTTTTCTTTGTCCAACATCCCAACCTCTATTGGAGTAAGCAGATAGAAGTTCCCCATGAAGTGATTTTCCCATATATATCTTAAGGACAAGAATAGATAAAGAAAAACGTTTACCTTAAAAGAATACTGATAACAATAACTCTTTAAATATACGCAAAATTCTTATTAAAAAACTTTGTAAGAAGCATTGACAAAGTTTTTTTTTACCTTGATTCTGTCAACGACGCAAACCAGCATGCTAGCCACGTTAATGTAACACTCAATTTTAAATTGACTTTTTCTTTTTTTAATGTTTATCGCTTTTTTCATCTCTTCATCTGTTGTTTGTTTCTGTGGTTTCTTTATTTTTGTGATTGTCGTTTTTTGTCTTAATCTTTTTCTTTTTCTCTGGGGTTTTCCTCCGGTATTTTCTTTTTTCTTCCTCCGTGCCTGACTGTGTAACGCCGTGTGCTCCCGTGCTGTGGCCCGTTTCTGATACGATCTTGGGCTCCGCTCGGCTCCTAATCACTTGGTGTGCTGCTCTATCAAATATCGGATACGATGGTGGTTTTGCGCTATTCCCTATTCCTAATTTCCCATTTCTAATAACTTAAATTTGAATCTTTCGCTACCCCCTCCCTTCCATCTTAAATCCTGTCTGTCTGCCGACATTCTTTTTGGTTTGCTGCCGACCGGTCAATCTTGGCCTGCGCGAACACAGGGCAGTACGGTAGCACCACCTCCGCCGTTGCCGAAGGAGCCACAATTCTACGCCCCGCCACCAAGCGAACCGCCTTCGGCCATTCCGGTACTGGGTGTCACGCACCCGACAGCGCCTCCATCGAGCTCGCAAGGGACTGGCGGGCCATTTGGCGGAGGAGGTCCACCAATCGGCGGATTAACACCTTTACCCCCGGTTCTACCACCACCACAGCACAGCCTCAACCAACAACCTCCGCATGGACCACAGGCGCACCCTGTCCTGCAGCAGCAGCCACCGCCTCAACAGCAGCAACAACCGCAACAACAGTCGCAGGTGGTTCCACTTCCGCACAATCACGCTAACAACCACCAGACAACTACCCCCGTCGTGCCTCCGCCGCCGCCCCAGGTGAGCTACAAGCAAAAAAGCAAATTGCACTGCAGCGACCGCGGCAGCAGAAATGGTGACAACGAAAGAAAGCACAGAGATGTTGGAAAGTGGAGACGAAACAAAAAGAACGGATTAAGGTCTATCGTCAAGCTAAAGAAACAGCATCCTGTACAAGGGTGTGGACAACACGTAAATCAACCCTGTATAAATATAGTAACATCAACAATCGCATTAAGAACAAAAGCAACAACAATGTTTGACGTTTCCTACCACTGCTACAAAGACTTAGAACTGCGCCATGCGCCAGACGAAAATATCTTCTACGACTAACACGTTATTCGGTGGAATATGTCTGAGTTAAAAGCTATTCTTCGATCAGTACTGTAAAGACTCTGGGTGACAGCAAGTGTACAGCAGTTCGAGTTTTACTAGACGAGTCCTAGTTTCCAAAGAGTCACCTTTATCGGCATGCTCCACCATAATTATATGAACGGCATTTTTCTCGATGGATTCTGGCTCACGGCAATTACTAGAGGGTTCTAGTTGAGATTTGTGTGGTTCGCACGCAAGATTGCGTTGTTTGTTTCAAAGGGACCACCAAGAGGGTCTTGCTATAATTATATCGATGATTCCGGCTAAACCGGTTGATAACAGTTGACTAAAAAAAGCGGCCAATTGATGCCTATTTGAAGCTTGGAATAATGGCAACGGATAAACAAGTTGTAGCTATGGAAGTGACCCTGCATCCGCGACATGGAATTGGTGGTTGTTTAAAATGCATGTAGGATCCTATGCTCAGCCATAATGGACGTATTTTGCAACTAACAGTAAGATAACTATGGGTATTTAAGCACTGATAATGCGATCCTCTATGGAGTGCTTATGTGTGGCAAATCAAAACTATTGCTCTTAGCCTACCGCAGGCTGGCCAAGTTTGATGTTCAGAATATTTACATGTGTCACAATTATTTTACAAAGCGTGGGTTTGGGCGTTCGTACTCTGCAGTGCGCTAACTATGTTCTTCTTTTTGATCAATTACAATTGATTGGACTTGCTGTAATCCAACCTGTCAGGAACGCTAGCCTAAAGAAATTCTACCTTAGAGATTTCTTATTCCTGAAGAATTCATCATGTACCTATATATGCTGGGCACATTCATTTTAGTGGCGTCTTCGTATAGTCGAGGAGAGGTATTTCTAAAATGTCGAGGAGTAACGCGTGTATTAACCCAGAGTTTCTCTTTCGCTATTACAGGCACCGGTCGGAGCCGCGGGAAGCGCGGTGCCTGTTCTAAGCAGCGGACTGTATAGCCGGCCACCCCCGCCACTGCCAAGAAACCACAACAGCCAGGGGCCGCCTTCCGCACACGTGGCCGGATCACCCTCCGTCCATGTAAGTTCTCATATATATGTATATGTATATATACATTTTTTCTAGTAAGATAATAAAGGTAATAAAAATTCCGACTTGCGGAGATCTAGGTAAAATGAGAACCGTTCAGAAACCTCAGAGACTTTATATCAAGATGCAGAAGGCGAGTGTCAGCTTGCTAGTTTATTCAGTATCAATTTTTCGGAGATGCATTTAGTCAGACCACCTTCGGCGAGCTTTTTGTGCACTGTGTCTCTCTTATGATAGATCTTCTTTGGTCGCCAATTCTGCATTAAGTATAAAAATTGTTGGCGTTAGATTAATATGGCAGTGTTAATACTCGAGAAATGTACCTTTTATTGACTTGAGCGTTAATTTTTGATCGTGCTTTGCAGTCCCGTCCGTCGCCTGTCGTCGGGGTGTCACCTGGAGGGCAGGGTGGTTACGTTCCCCCAGGGGCAGCTAGCTATTTCCTGCATGGACCGCCTCCCGCAGTACCCCCCCAGGACTATTCAACGCCTCCACCACCACCTCCACACCAATATTATCCAGCAAACCCACACCACCATCGGCCACCAATGGGCCTACCGCCAACGCCATCTGGCAATGCACCCGGACCGGGAGGACCAATTAGAGATCACTATAGGTAAGCATCGATAAAGACAGCTGCTAATAGCTGATGACAAATCATTCGCTGAATCTGTTGTACCACAAACTTTGTTACAATAGTGGCCAGTCACATCTTTGCTGATTAATCGCTCGTGGATTTAGCACTGGATTATCATGAACTGTGGTCCAAAGCAGAATTTTATTCTTCCATTCTTTAGTTTGGTGGTTAACAATGAAAATTACAGTTTCGTCTTAACATCTAGTAGAATTAATGATGCAGGAAGCGGTTAAAGTCTTATTTTTTTTTAAATCTCAAAAAGTTACTATGGTAAAAGAATAATAAACGAGCCTACTATCATTGCTACCATAGCTGCTTAGTAAAACTGTACAGTCAATAAGCAAATTTTGTGTTGTTCTTTCAGACCGTCAAATCAACACCATCCGTATATGCGAGGGCCGGCTGGCCAAGGTAATCCATATCTGATGCCTCCACAAAGGCGATGAAATCGAAGCGGCGAGCCTATTAAGGCAAAAATCGCACAACCAACTCTCGAGGTTGATGTACATTAAACCTGTAAAATAGACGTAAACAACTGAAAACGAACTTAAATATATTAATATTAGAAAATAATAAATGTAATCATAATGTTCGATAACGTACCGTTGTATTGAATTCAGTAGTATATGTCGTATAAATGCCTATCCCGTGTACACGGCTGAATTCGGGTTTGAATAATAATAGATTTAAGATCACGAAACAGAAATTAGTGTATAAAATTGCTAGTCTAGATCACATCTCATTTAGAGGCGAGCCGCGTTAAAAACTGACAAAATAAATAATCGCAAATATCTGAAAATCAGAAATCGGCTCAGTGCTGAAGCTATAGCAAGCTAATACAGAAAGGTTGTTAGCGGAACGTAATTGAACAAGATTTTAATAAATAAGGCTTTAGGTGACGCACGTGTGAATAAGTCACGATTATTTGTATATAAGTTGCTGTTGCACAACCTGTGAAATTATCTTTTTGACAATTCACGATAGATAATTCATTTTGTTAGAGTGACAAACAGACACTAGAAGCATCTTCTACGGCAAAGCTAGTAACTGGAATCGCAAATTATCTTTCAGGGTTGTAGTTAGGCTACTTATCTTAATTTCCGACATGTTTGATTAATGGACGTTGGCGTAAATATTAGATAATGCAAAACTACTTTATCCATATGCAAAGTGCTAATATTCTGTGGTTTGAGATAAGTAGTTTATGGGTATATGGTGTAAGAGAATTAAAAAATAGGTTAGGGATGTGACAACTAATTATGCTCGAAGTTAAAAAATTGAATTTAATAAATAGTGTTTAGCTTTATGTAATGCGTTTATCTTCATCATATTAGTAATGGATTCGTGGATGCGTCTTTATTACTATAAAAGGCTCCGTTTAATTATTATATATGCTGCGGATGGCCATACAAGAATGACGAATCAACTGGTGATAACAAAACATTTATTAGGCTTCTAATTTGGGCTTTATAAGCACGAGTGCATAGGCAGTGCAAGGAGAAAAAGCCGTTCGTCATAACACGCTAAAAATCAAGAACGCACGTTATATTAAATAGGCGGGTGGATAAAAGTGTCGAACCTATTGCGAAACGACGGGTGCATTTATAAATAGTGTCCGGGCTCGTGGTCACCTGTGCCAAGTTTTCGTGCTTTTCTAAATAATAATAGTAGAAACTATGGTTTTCTACATCCTTAGAAAGCACGATCTCACTCAGCGCTCAGTGCTGAATGAGATCGTGCTGTCTAATGCTCACTCCGCACTATAGGTCGTAACCTTCGAGACGAATCTTCGCAAGTCGTAGAAGACCTTCCGTTTCTACAGGGCAAAGGCTGAATTTGCTCTGGCACTGTTCGCGTGAGCGGTGGGTCAGGCCCATAATGGCAGCATTCTTATACGGCGTCCAAGGCTCTTCTGGGTTGCTGTCGTTCAGCGACAGCATAAACTTAGTGACATCGTCGCCCGGGTAACTGTCAAGATTTGGGTTGACAGCCAGCTCGCACACCACACGAAGAATGCACTGGTCCACATCGTACTGATCTACGTAACTGAAAACCTGGCGAAGGGCTTCTTCGGGGACAGCTGACGGCGTTGCCCCTTTTGCTTCACGGCGAAGTCGATGATGCGATTGATAGGCGACTGGAGTATAAGCCGGTTCAGGAACAGGCTCCGAAGTGTATGCAGATGGAGGTGGGGTATAAGCAGGTAGCGCTGGAGTATATGCGGGCGGCTTCAGAGTATAAGCTAATGCGGGTAGAGGCGTCGTCATTGTGGGCTCACGTCCGTATAACGGCTCCTTGAATTCAGGTCCTGACATAGAATAGCCTTTAGAGGATGTCGGGTGGACAAGCAGAGACGAAGGTCTATCGGGGATTCTGTTTTGGCTGAGCAGGGCGGAAGCGGGGATTACTATAGGATCGACAAGCTGAATTTGAGGTTGATTTTGAGCAAGAAACAAGCCTGTTTTGCCTCCAGCCTTTGCTCCCGCAATGGCGCCTATCTTCATAGCCTTGACCTTGAATGGTAGCTCAAGAAGGGCTAACTTGATGTTGGCTGCGGTGGAAGCCGCCGTTTTTGCTAACCCCAACTTTGCTTTAGCTAGCTTGACTTTTCCGATACTAAGGCCGAGTGGTGCAAGTAATGGTGCCTTAGCAAGAAGCAGCTTTAACTTCAGCAGACCTAGGGCTTTAAGACCAAAGAGCGCCGGTAGAGTTAGCTTTAACGGTCCAATGAGAGCTAAAGTTTTCAGTAGACCAACTGGGAGTAGCACCCTTCCTAAGCTCACAAGACTGCTGCTCAGCGCTGCTAGACCCTGCGTTGCGCCTGCCACCTCCAGAAGCTGCCCAGAGGCGGCTACGATAAGCAGCAGGAACAAATTTACGATGACTAAGAGACGCATCTGAAAAAACCAAACAACTTATTTTAGATTTTAAGCACAAATTCTAAAGAATACAATAAGGTGTACAAACCACCGGTTTAAGTAAACACATTTCTGTACCATCAGGGGAAGCTTCTTGTGCGATTTCGATTATCGTAGAACAGATTGGTGTTTTGTGTAAATGCAAACAAATTTTAGCAATAGACAAACAAATGATTTTATCTTATCACTTTATTTATTAATTTATTTATTACTTATTGGCAATGAGAAAGGTTGAGGAAGCTTGGCTTAACAGCGATTACCATATTCCACTGAGTCTACACCTTAGTACGACAAGCCTTTAACTACTGCACGTACTTTACTCGTAAAAAAAAGTGGTAAAAACTGGAGCTTGGGTTAGTGAAAAATTTACCTTATGTAGGGCATATGGTGCCGCATAAAAGAAAGGATCTCGCTTGTCCTGGCAGACCTTCTTGCATTCGGTTCTCTTAGAGACGTCTCGCCTGCGGTGTCTGCTCCGGTCGATCTTAAGTACCTGTCATTAGCCCCCGACGCGCCATAGCTCCGATTTAGAGAGCAGCGTAAAGAGAGAGGGCGATGCCTTAGGAAAACACCACAACCACCCCAAGAGCGAGAAGGCACCGCTGACGACAGATCGACGGGTCGTCGTTAGTTGTGCCTAACACTGGTTCGTTGAAAGCTGTTCGATCCTTGAAAAATCAGAACAGACCTTTGCAACTGACTTCAATGTAGATCACTCCATTAATCATTGATACGCTGAACCATTTAATTTGCTCTGCTGAATTCTGAATGTATAGAACATAAACCTAATATACTGAACATAGACATAATACAATAACAAACAAAAGTGCGATTAAGTTACGGAATAGATTAAAGACACTTTCCACCCCCGAAAAAACCGTTTAAACATAATTACTTCGAAATAATTGTAGTGCTAGCAGCGTAATAAGATCTTGCTTTTTGATTCGTATAATCTACCATTCATTACATGCGTCAACTCTATACGAAAACTATGGGTGACAAGAATTCGAGAATCTCTGTTTAAGACGCGAAACAAATACATCCATCGAGCAGCAGCAGCAAAATGTGATGCCAAACGTGTTCAGCTACTTGCAGAAGAGTGCCAGGCAAATCGCTACGTACTCCTAACATGATCACCACAAAATTGCTCTTATAGTAAACGAAACTTCTCTCATTTTTTGCAAATTTGTTTAAATACAATTACTTTTGCTAGTGGTAGTCAAGTATTTTATATATGTAGATTGAAATCACGATCTACGTAGAAACAATAAAGTTCTTCACGTCAAACGGATTGGTGTATTAGTCTAGTTCAATTTTTAATACGTTAACTTGAACAGTTTACCAGACGTTCCAAAGCAGCGTGATATCTACCACAGTTTTCGCATATCTGGTGCACCCACACATGCGATCAGGTTTCTGGAAGCTTTGTTTGTCGACGCGCGGCAGAACGAGTTGCGGTTTGTCGATTCTGCTACAAAATGTGTTCAAGTAAATACAATGCACTCCAAATAAATTCGATCATATAGACTTATAACAAACAGTTGCATTTCTCACAAACTCTACATTCTATGGTCTCTGTGAAAGTTCCCTATACAATTTAGAAATAATCTAAATAAAATTTTAAATTCAGTGGGAAAACGATCTCTGAAGTATCAACATGTTGATATACCTAGGTGACTCATTAGTACTGTTGCCATGACATTGGCTAGGCACCGATTGTGAAGAAAGAAAAATTGATTAGCTCTGTTTCAACAGATCTTATGATCTGAAGCACTGATCTGTACGAACTCAAAGCTCAACTGATAGTTTGTGCTGCCTTAGAGTTCATACTAAAATGCAAACGAGTTCATCTTCGATTCTAATTTTTGTAGTTTAGGTACAGAAATCAAAATAGCATATCCGAGTGCTACGTGGAGCTTTTTATTGGTGTTAGCATAACAATATGAAAAAGACTAAACGCCCAATTAGAATACGACGCTTCAGGGATTCTGACTGTTTATGGTGGCGACCCCTCCGCTATCTGACTGCGTTGGAATTCGGTTTGATCAGACAGCTGGTGACAACCTGTTCGACATCGTCATTTCTGTTGAAGACTGCTACTTGCAACCCGCCCTTCTCCGGTCATTTGCCCAAAAAAGGTTCAACTCAGGAATTCTCTGAAAAATCAACATATCGGCAAAACGCGATCACTGAATCAGGGCTAGTACTAGATTCAGGCAAATTAAGCGATTAAACGTCTGTGAACGAAGTAAATTGATATTTGTCGTTTCTTTAATATTACGTAGAACGAAAATTTTAAAGCTGAAAGCAATTTTTCGTCTACCCAGCTGGAAATTATCAGGAGAGTCGTAATAAAAACTGTAGGCCTATCTCATACATTGTCTAGCCTGTACGTGTGAAATCATCGAAGGTGTTGCCTACCATTTATGAGAACGTTTCAATATCTCAGGCGTTTTAATAGCAAGACGGTGTTTCCTTTGAGGCACAAAATCGGGCCGTTTACTAGGGGTTGTCTAGAACTACCAGTATTTTGCGTCTGTTCGTAGCCAATCTGTAATCGAATGGTAGAAATATCCAACAAGCGCACGGCTAGCATTTCCTACTTTTTGTCAGAGAAATATGTTCGGCTATCAAACCATGTAACTTTAGGAATAGAAAAATATGCCCACTTACACAACAGGAATTTGATACTCCCGCTTGAATGAGGCAGATCTATCGCTAAATACTAGTTGAAGTATTATTGTTCCGGTGATTCAAAACGTCTTCTATACGAACCTTCGCCTTTGTAAAATTTCAAAATATTTGAATCTAAACTATAAAATAATTAAGGCTCAGTAAAACTAAAGTTGCCTTAAGCAACGAAAATTGTTCTCCTGAACTCCCTTTAGTAAGGTTTTTTAAGATATTCCTATAAACCGCACAGTTCTACTTCTCAATTGATATTTCGTGATGTTCCACTCCATAAGACTGACACCTAAGTATCTTGGACATTTTCATCAAAACTTTTTTGTGCCGGCGTAACTCTACTCTAAAAAGGATACTACAGCTTGCAATAAATGTCACAGTATACTAGTGTCTGCTCATTAATTAAACAATTTATCGCCCTAATTATATTAGATAGGGTCCCATGGGAAAAATTCATTGGGAGGTTGGGTTGTCAACGCGGCTGAAACAGCGAACCCAGTTTAGTTTGAGGTTGAGGCAAGTTCTAACTCGCGCAGTTTTTCCTGGATCATTTGTAAGACCGGATTAGTCAAACAGGTCTATTTGATTAGTCATTGAGTAATTGTTATAATTTAATTGGGGCTAATTATCTTTAAAAAAAGAACTCTGCATATTAGCATCATTGAAGTCTATAAACCCTACAGAAACCTCGCAGTATGAGCCTTTTGTTTTGGCGCACATATACGATTTTGTAACTGAACAAGCACCACCGAGCATATTCAGATATCTAAAGTCTCGCGTATTTTTCGGTGTATTTTGTTCATATTAAAATTTGATCGCTACTTCACTAACGGCAGATTTTACAGCTTATTACGGATTATTTTTGACGGACATATGTTAGAGAAGTATGAATTTGTGTCCTGTTTATGTGTTTGTAACATGCCACCTGTGTCCGTTTTTAAATACCGATTTTCACATAGACTAGAATTAATATAATTGAAAACTACTAAGTGAAAACAGCAGAGGTTGAAGTGTTGCGAAGCTTATCTAATTGCTTCAACTCTTACTTAAACGTTCCGTCAGATAGCTAGCTCCTAGCACGAAACGAAGTCTGTCTATGGACGGATTCAAACCTATGCCAGTACGTCGTTGACATTAGCAAGCAAGAACGTTACGTTGTAGGTTATCACGGGGACTGCGAAGCTTTTTCACAATTTATTTAAGTCTATCACGTCGCAGGGGTAAATAAAAAAATATTTAATTTGCCTCTCCTTCAATATTTTCCAGTATGTCTGTATACGATCTAGATTATATCTCTTATATATCTATATATATATTCTCTCCCATTTATCACATACGAGGTACATGTGTAGGTCCCAAACTTTTTTGGTTTTATATTTTTCAAACCTGGTTGCGATGCCTTCAGTTCATATATATACGTAGAAGTATATATATACCTGTAAGAGTATTCAAAGAGACGGGTCTACGGGTTATTAAATAATAACTCGCTGTGTGTGTCTTCATAAACTTCCGCCTTTATTTTTCGTTTCCAATAGGCTTCACCTCACAAATAAATTATTATTACTTAGATGTAAATCGAATGACCTCTCATTGACAGTGCGTAGTTATTCATTATATACAGCTCTTGCAATCATTCAAATAATTCATCAACTCAGGGTGTTTCAAAATCCTTTTCGCGAACGATCAACACTGCTCCCGGCTGCCAGTCATGCCCCACTGATGCACAAACAGATCATTACTAGTACGGAAGACGTGAGTGGTCGGACATCAGAGCCGTATTGTTCCAACAATTTTGCGCTAGAGCTCAATCTATTCGTTGAAAAGTTTGTAGTTGCTCAATCGTATCATGACGTACTTGACCCTATCAGGCGTTTTCGTGCTTCAACTACAAATGTCTTAGTAGGCTTGGCGCATCCATTATATTTCCGATAACAAGCCTTGCGTGACTGAGTGAGCTGTCCGGAAATAATGGCTTTTTGGAATTTAACCCAGGGGGCTGTAGAGTCACTGTTGTCGAGAGACTTCAAGAAGGCCATCACGTCCTTTCCAAAATCTTCAGCAAGTGTTGGATCCACGGCAAGTTCGCAGAGAACGCGAAGTACACAGCGATCGGGGTCAAATTCTTCGATTTCACGGAAAATTCGCCTTAGGGCTGTTATAGGCAATGTTCTAGCTACTTCTCTAAATGGTCGATAGGTAGCCTGCGGTGGCTCTGGTGTGGTGCTCTTACCTTTTGCCCCTACCTCGGGTTTTCCACCCATGACATTAGGTACAGCCGTGTACTGAACAATCCGTAAGTAGGGTAATATTCCGCTAACATCAAATCGCGCGGCAGCTCTTGGAGATAGCTTACTTAGCAGAAGTCGTAGTTTTATAAAGCCAAAGCGTTTCAAACCAAAAGCTACAGGAAACGGGAGCTTTAGAGGTCCAAACACGGTTAATGGGACCTGAAATCCAGTGCACACTACTCCTGAGCCGACTATCATAAGCGTTGCGAGATTTGTGCCCAACGAAACTAATCCTTGGGTAGCGCCCAGCTCTAACACGGATTGACTGCCTGGCGTCGCTGCCAGCATAACCAGCAACATAATTAGTGTAGCAACGGAGGTACGCATCTAAAAAGAACAGGTAAAATAACAATAGTTAGTGAAAGTTGAAAACGAAATAGTTCTTTCCGCTATAGAATGCGTCAACAAACTTTTGCTTGATCTAACGTCAATTTAATCAATGATGCAATAAACTCATAGAGTGTAAACTATTTTTCTGTATTAGAATAAACTGTAGTTCCAATATAATACTTAGAAAACAATTGAGCTCTCACTTCACAGCTTTCTCCGCGCGTTCGTAATGTCAACTAGAGTCCGGAGTCATGAAAATCTGGGTTTTTTTATGGTGGCGATCCGGTTAATCATGCATGATGGGCAAATTCAACCTGATCTGACCGAGGGCGTCAATGTGAAGGATATGACCGTTACTAATGGAGTCTTGAATCGAACCCTACTGCGTCGCTGACTTGCCGCAAGTCTGCGAAACTTGCGAAATCCGTAGTTCTAGAAATCAATGCCACTGCAGACTTCTGGGATATCTACGCGCCTTATGGTTTCTAACTCATTAACTTATTTAAAGAACGATCTTGGTGGTTATACAGGGTTGAAAATCTCGTCATGCAAATCTATGGAGCTGGCACCACAAGCGGCACGTCAGTCGAAACAACGCTACGTAAGGTTGGCTCTGTCGATAATGTGTTTTATAAAATTATTTTTATTTTAGCTGTTTTGTCGAATTGGAAGTGATCATCTTAAGATAGTTTTTTTTTCTAGGTACAAAAATAAGGTCCCTATCGCTTCAAAACAGTGCGGTTCGTTCCACCTAGCAAATTAAGTCGTAAGTTGATTTGGTAAAATTTGAGAAGCTTATTTTTTGCTCTGGTGAAATTTCTGCATCAGCATTCTACGGGAGACATCGCAGCGATCAAAACTATTTGACAATGGTGTTTAGTGATTCCCTTGTCAGGTAGTCATCTGCTTCAAAAATAATAAATTCAAAGCTAATAAAATTAGACAATAATTTACTTAATTCCGCGAATAAAAAGTGGTTAAAAATATACGCAACTTTACGGGTAGTTTACAAAACCGGGCAGCTTCGAAGGTAATCCTTCATGTAGGGTCTCTCATTCATCCCTTTGTAAATACGAATTCGAAGGAGGTCCCATCTACGTGAACGTAGTCATCATGAATTGCAATACTTGGCTAGATCGTTCTGCATATTTTCAATAGTGCGTGTTGTAGCAACCTGCTGCAAAAATGGCACAGATACAAATTCTACTTGAATGCTAGATAACTTCATAGATTGCCTATGCTATACTTGTTCCCGCCTCTTTGGGAAATATGAGGGTTCCTTATTATGACGACGGCTGAGTTGACAGCGGACTGGGTTACGTGTGAAGGTTATGCTAATAAATTGAAGTCGACTATGAGCGACATCTTTCTTGCCGCACGCCAATAAGCACACGGGCACCCTTTCGCCTTCAAAAGCTCTACTTGTAGGAGCGAAAACACGCATGAAAGTTCCTTGAATCAATACCATAGTCGGTTCTAGTAAAGTCCCTATATTATGTTGTAGAGTCCGACGGGCTTTAAAGTTGAATAATTTTCGCTTAATTTAGTGATAATGATACGATGATTTCTTAATACGTGCTAAAGGTACCCTTCTTTTTATTGCCCACCACTCTGGTAGCCGTCAAGTCTGCCATATATCTACCATTAGCGTTACCACGCAATTTTTCTATTCCCTAAGTAAACAAAAGAAATGATGCTTGTTAAGTAGCTACCCTTTTTGAGGCATAAAGAGCCCTGCAGTTTTACCGAGTATTCCTTTGTTTAGTAGGCAAACACATTATCATTATTATTGTTCAACGACTCAAAGTTTCTTTATTGAGATAACAAACAATTAAGAAACACGTTTAAGGCATCTGACTCCGTTCGTGCCTATTTTCACTAGAAGTCACCAAGGGTGCAGTCAGTTTAGTGATAATATTTTTCGTTCAATTACATTTCGAATCGACAGGCGATTGTGTGGGAAGCCTTCTTACGGAGCAAAGGTAAATTGATGTTTACACACGCATATTTTTTGGACGACCATGTCCTAGAGTCAAAATAAACCTCAATTAATGCCAATTATTCACCTAATTGTTCTGCATGCCATGTCTATTCAGTCTCAAACGAGATACTTATGCCGGCATATAAATATTGTTTACCCTTTGCCTGTGGTATTATATAAAAAATAGGTCTTGCATTAAGATGTCTGTGTGTTACTCCCAGCGGGCGCGTTTCAGCGTATAAAGCTTAGTAAATGTATCGTCACATTCTTATCAACGAGATGTTGTTCACGATTCAAAATGTGTGTTATGCGCCAGTCAGTCATGTTAAAAGGGAAATTATATAAACTAATTATACTAAGCTCGATGGTGAAGTTTCTGGAATTAGCCCCTACTGCATGCGCACAGCCTAAACCTAGCGAGAAGCTGATTTGCTTTGGAAACGCGTTCGTTACGCGACTTGTTGAGACTCTGCTGGACCGCAACCGTGAAAACCTGAAGAAAAATGAACCGAACTCGTTAGGCGAACACGATGAACATATTGGACTTTTTGTAAGCAGATATTTATAAGCATATGATAGCAGACAGTGTCTTCCGTGCAATGGTGCAAATGCTCAATGACTAAAATGAAGTTCTGTAAGCGGAATCACAAAAGCATGTAAACATTTTATCTGACGCTATCCTTATTACCCCCTAGCAACGACCGAAGTCGTCTGCAGTTAGAAGCAGACGATAGCACTGCTTACATATCGCGAAGCAAACCTATATAACCTATTGTTATTACCGTGATCCAAATCACTCCCTCGTGTGCCCCCAGACGATTTGTTAGGTCTGCTCGGTAACTGTTACAAGCACTGTGAATAACCCCTACAATATGATAAATTATAGTTTCACTTGGCTCGCCGTATTCACAGATGAGGTGTACACCTCAGTTGAATCGTATTACTTTCGTTTTGGTTCAAAGAGTTTTTTTTTTTTTTTGTATTATGTAAAGAGATAGCGTGAATTGTAGCGTTTGTTCAAAATTTATTTGCAGAATATATTAATATATTCTGCGAATAATGTATTGAGAAATTCCTCCGTGGGCTAACGCGCATGCTGGTTGGTAATATCCATCACATGTTTGAGCTGGAGTCCAACTTTTGTGCTGAGCTTAATCAAAGTCAAAATTCTCTTGTTACCCATATAGAATTAGTTATATGTAAAAACACGATATGCTTTTTTTCTAGCTCAGGAGACTTTTGCTTTAAGTGGGCGTTTGAACGTCAGCTCGGGATAATCCGGATATATAGCTGTATAGCAACGTAAGGTAAAGACCACAAGGGCAAGCATGGTCCAGAAAACGCTTTTTTTTTTTTTGCTGGAAGTTTCACTAGCCATTAAATGTTTCAAGCAAAATTTGCCGTTCTTAACCTGATCGTTTTGTGTATTTTTTTTCTTAATTGTTTCTTTGTGTTTTGATATACATACTTTGTGTACAGAACAATGAATAAAAAGGAATTCATAAAAGATACCTTCTAAGCCGCCGAACCTTAAGGATGTGTAATTTTAGGAACACTTTTTTATGCTGCTAGAAAAAACTTGGGTATTGCCAACTCGCTTCCAATAAGATATTGGATCTACTGGAATCTTTGGGTTTCTAGAGCGAAAACAAACTAGCGCAAATACCTCTTCTTTTAATGACGTCCTTATAGGAAGTATTCTGGGCAGCAAGTAAACCCTAAAAACAATTTACAGCGCTTTGTGTAACTGGCAAGAAGCAAAACGTCATGTGTTTTCTATATTTTATATACCTTTTTATTTATTATTAACCTACTTTGCTTGATTTCAGGGTGACTTCAAATCACATTGTGATTATGTTAAGCCTAAGTTGTACAATACATTTTTAAGTTGGCTGTAAAGCAATAAGTTAATGTTCTAGGATTCAGTTTATCGCTAGGGCATAATTAAAAAAGTGAAACTCTTATGGCAGACATAAACCAGTGATTTTTATTAGCTCCTACCCACATGATACCTTGAGTTGAGCCATGTGAACACGGACAAAATACGTTTTTCCTATAAGCGTATTATTCAACAGATCTATTGGAAACCTGCATTTTACAACAGTACTTCGTTGAAGTGGGCTAGTTCGCTTATCTCAAAGACTGAGCAATAAAAAATATAGAGTATGCTATAGGTCTAACTTGTTACGGTTCAATGTACATTATAAATTCGCCTGAGTACGGTGCTAAATTTGGAGACGAAAATAATATCTTTTTTTCTGTTTTTTTTTTTACATATATTTTTTTATGTACTTTTATCATGACTTCTATTTCGTTACCAGCAGTATAACAAATTGCCCATCGGTATTTAGACCATCAAGATGCACGCTCGGTCCACATCGTAAAAACTGCAAACTTAGTTTAAGGTACAATACATATAGAATTTAGCCCATACTCAAATCAGGTTTTCCTTAAGTCAATACTAGTTCGACGCAAATGAAACAGCGACGCACTCATAAACTAGGTGCCACATTATCAGACTTCTTGGCGATACAAAATTTTACCAACCGCTGGTGTAAAAATGATGATAGTATCGCTCAATTAGGTTTCGTAATGCTACGTACGACGGTGTGAATATAGATTACCAGTTGTCTGCAGCTCAGTGATGCTCTGTGTTTTTGTTGCATTTAAGATGGAAAAAATATGTTTTTATGGGTCTAGATATGGATTGTAAAGACCCGGGTCTTTTATTCGATTTCGCATGAGTCGCTAAATTACTTCCACGTTATATGTGGCGCAGTATTCAAAATAGACTTTCTGCGCCATATCATGGACCTAAAAAGTTAAAAACATGGTATCTTTTAAAAAGAAAATAAAAATAAGACATTCGCTGTTCGTCGATCAACGGGGCTCATAACCGTTGATGGTGAGGATCCAGTATTTATACATATCTGAGAATGCCTTCGATGGACTCGAAATGATAAATATTGTACGTTCGCCTGGACGTTTACCTGCTTTAGGAATCACCGCTATCAGTAGATTTTTCAAGCATAAAATCTATATTTTGGAAAAATTGACCTCCCCCGAGATGGCCAAATATCAAAATCAACGTAGTGTCTTATACTTTATGACAGATGATGATTAGATACATCTTTCTAGATGATGATCAGTACAAAAAGGATCTGGCTTACAAATCCTGTCTAGTTTAGTCGTTCAAATTTTTCTAAGGGTGTCATCCTTTTAACCGTCTAAGCACTTTAACTAACACCGAAAGTTTATCAGCAATATGTGGGTATACACTATGCAATGGAAACCGCTGTGAGAAATCTGTCAACATAAAAACAGCGGCAGACAAATACCTCATTGTAAAGAAAAAGCGGAAGGAGTGTGTACTATACAATATCTCGAAGATTTAACATGAATTATACTTGTACCATTATACTGAGCATCATTACAGAATCAGTAGATACTACAGCGCTTTCAGCACTTGAGAGCAACAAAAAATTACATTTAGCGTTACCATTCTCAAGAAGCGACCCCGAATTCATCGAAAAGATAGACTTGTCCAAGAATAATTCGGATTTCGCAAAAGACAAAAAACTAATGTCTCGATATTTTATATGATATTAAAAACAAAAATCAATCGAATGGTGCGGATCTTTGTCGAACTGATACACAATTGTAATTCGTTGCAAAATAGAACGACGAGTGAGTATTGCAGGATACTGGTTACATGAGCGCAATATTGCTAGGGCTTATATAAGGCTCGATTTCTTTTTTGGCATGAATAGCCATACAGGTTGGCAATGAGATGTTAGATGAAGTAGCTGATCCAATGTCCGGGCTGTATTTAACACTACTTTGTTTCCACAAATTTATAGTTGTTAGACTTCCCACTTTGAGGATATTAATGTGGTGCTACTTTCTTTTGTGCAGTACCTACACAATCCGCGACTATTCAACTTGTCCAAAGGGAGAATTCATGGTGAAATTACCGTCGATTGCACCTCCAATCCGGTTTATGCTGTTCTACGTATTCCGTTGATGGTACCCGGGTTCGTCTTTATTTATGACTACATTTTTCCTGGATACCTCGCTTACGGAAAGGTTATCATTACTAGTGATAATCTGGGAATGATTTTCACAATTGAGACGCCTCTTGCAGGTGAGGAGGACAGGCATAAACTAGAATAGTTTATATACTCGTACTAGAATGCAGTCATAATAAAATGGGACATTATTGCCACATAGTCATGCTAAGAAGACAAAATGCACACGCATAGTTCTCATGTTAAAATTAATTTCTAATTGGTCCTCTTTAACTGCTCGCAGTTGAAGTTCGCTACCCGTCTAGCCATACACTGGCTCACAGAAGAGCCGAGAACGTTAGCATTTTTCAGTCACATCCCACATATAGTATAAACGTACCTTTCTTCTTAATTTTCCATTCAATGAATCTCTAATTTAGTTAAAAACTCTAATTAAAAGTTTTCTTTGTAACAGATAGATTAATTGGCAGATTTAGAAAACTGATTCATTCATTGAGTGTATTTATAACATTGATTATATTTCTGAAAAAGACCCGGTCAGACAAAAATGGTAGAAAAAATTGCTTTTGTTTTCGCTGGCAAACAGGATATATCATAATTCGAAGTTCTGAGCATTTCTTAAACGACGATATACAGACACTCCACTACAGATCGACCGACTGCCGTCAATCGAATAGACCCAATCAAAGAGGCCTAAAAAGGGAACTTTTTTGGTTTATTGGACCGACCCTATAAAGACATACACACACATCTCACTACGTATGTGCCTCGATGTCGTTATGTTACATACTGGTGATAACAGCAAGATACATTGTGTTCACGAAGGAGCTCTTTGTAAGTAATAGGAACACTATGTTTCTTTTTTTAATTACATTTACATCTACTTTTACGCTATCTAGTAGTATATGTCACTGGTTGAGCTTGAACTAGCGACCCCTAGCTCTTATCACCTAAAACTTTAGCTACCACGCCGATCTGTAGAATAAGGGAATCATGCGATGCACATAGTACGCCATAAAGGTGCAGGTTTCGATTGTTTCTTTTGTTTTTATATAAAATATTCAATTTCAGCTCGCAGTACTGAAAGAACAATAATAACGTCTATAGATGTCTTCCGCTCTGATGACTTCAAGCTCAGTTTTACTGGACTTGGTCCAGTCACCCGGGCCCTCAGCTCAGTGTTTTACGTCGCGTATCGTGTCTTCCCCAGCGTGCCTCTTGGACTATTCACAGTGCTCACAGTTCGCATTCTTCAAGAGTATATCGACAATAACCCCTTGCCCCTGTAGGGCACAGACTGGTCCTACAGTTGCAGTACTTCTTGGGAGGTTACGCGTTAATGGCAGAAAATGCATATCTACTTTACCTTGATCCAGTCATAATGTATGCTTTAAGCAGAAATGTTACTGTATGGTTTGTTTTATGCCTTATCTGATATCCTACCTAGCGGCTAAAACATACCGCTGCAACGCAGTCGCTCAGCTATAAAGCACCGTCTAAATTACTTTCTTCTGTAAATGATAATGTGGATACTTACGAATGCTTCATTTTGATTTTGTTGATAAAGTCCTTGCTTTATCCATATATCAGGTAATATACCCCCAGTTGTGGGGTCTTCTTTTTACAACCAAATCGATGGAGTGAGCTATTGGCGCCGCACTGGGACGAATGCAGCTATCTTTTGTTAGGTCGATAAATAGATTCTATAGCTAGGAGCTTGATAAGAAAGTCGTCTCAGGTTCAATTTTTTGCGTGGTCAAAAGGTCTAAGAACGCAAGTTTAAAATATGCTTTTTTGGTTAAATTAAGCTAAGAAGACATTGGGACCTCTAACTGTAACTTTCCATGCCTTTTTTTTTTTTCGCTAAACAGTGTAAGGCACTAGCTTTTATTATTAGGCTCATTACACGATGTACGATTAAATATGTAGGAGTCTCATTTTAAGAAATTGTATTACGGTGTGATACCTCTTCGGTTCATGTCGGATGGCTTCGCTATAGAACTATAAAAATTAAATGTCAACTAACGATTCTGCTGTGTTTATAACGGGAACCAGAACCTGAACTGGAGGATAAGCGATTTCTGCTCTGTAAACAAAGCGAATATTCTGACCACATGCAGAATGTAAATTTGCATCGCACCCTTCATCGGATGGAACCGTCTCTTAAATTCGCTCATAAATAAGTAAATTAAAATAAAGGTTTTCAAGGACCATTTAGAACGAGTAGAGCGTGCTACAGATAGGTAATGTCCTCTTAGGTCACGAACGACAGTCAAGCCTTCAAAGCGCGATTCACAGGACACGATTATACTTCCATCCGAATTGTAACAGATTGTGATACGAGCGCGTTAACTTGCCAGCAAGACGAGGCCAACTCCTCGCCTACCTTTAGAACCCTTTTTACCAATAGTACCAGGCAGTAAATCGAAGTGCCTTATATATAGTATAACAATAAATGTGTGCCTGAAAGAATAAATCATTTCACCCCGATAACCTTTAACTGAAACACCCAGATATTGAATGCCTTGTACACAATGTTTCAGGAAAGAGCCCCCTAGAATGCAGAGTTGCTAGTAGCATTCCCAGTAATAGTAGTCATTATAATCACCATATCATCTTAGTGATTAAAATCTATGTCATAACATTATAATGGGTAATAGTATTTCTATCCTGCATTTGCAAATGAAAAAGCACTATAATTTTCACCCTTAACACTTTTCTATGAAATACTTCAGTATTCATTCAAACCTTCATTTGCCTATATAACAATTATTCTTAGCATTATTCTTTAAATGGCGTTGTACGATTCCATTGTATTAGTTCATGTAACGAAATCGTTAAAATGATAGCTCAAAGCTAAGCTGAGGTGTGACAGTAACTTGAAATTCTATCAAAAGCGGCATACGAGGGCAGGTTTCGAAAATTGTTTTATACCTCCACTAGGTTCTCGACATTTTTTGTTACACAGAAAACTCCAAAGTCAAAGGGTCTCCTCTCGTAGGCACGAGCCTCCTGTTTTACGCTCGCTTGCTTAATGCGCCATTCAGATTTAAAAACGTTGATGAGCAAGAGGATGGAACACGTGGAAAAAGCCTTTACATCGTGCTTTATGTAATCCTAGAAACGTGTGAAGTCGTGTTAAAGCTCACTCCGCTCGGCTACCTTTTTATAATGCAGGAAATTTAGCTACCGATTTATGTGGGCAGTTTTCCATCTGACAATGCAAACAGTGACTGCCTACGTTGTCAAGGCGGGTTGCTACAGCTGTTCAGTCTATTCGTTCAACAGAGCAGCCGATAATCGATAGTACTTCTTTGAATACAAGCACTTTGTCAGTGTCAGAAACAATACAATGCTAATACGGCGGACGGCTATTATTACTCGTAATAGTTCAGGACTGATGAGTCTTGCTTATAGAGGAAATACTGTTAAGATCTTTGGCTGACCTTATGCCTGGAGCATTTCACAGTTTTCAGTCCTGAAGTCTTTGTAAGCGCTAACGTGGAAATTGCGAGATACGCTATGAAGATAGTTAATTCAGATAACCTATCGTTTTCAATGTCAGGTCAAAAAAGGTATAACTTGCCCTTTAACTAGATACACTGCAAACGACCCTGCAAGATATTACAATGTAGGACGACTTTTCCGGTAATAAATGCCTTTCTCTTTCTGAAAAGCCTATTTTTCGGTAGTCAATCAAGTGCAGATTGTAGCTAAAAAATACGATGAAGTCTAACAGTATAGGGTAGCTAAAATAAGGACGCTGAATCGCTGGGATGCATACCCACATTCTCGAATATATTCCTACCCATAATAAATCAACAAACCGACTACTTAAATGGGGTTAGGTACAGGTGGGCTTGATATGGGCATAAAGTAGCCTTTTTTACTGCTGGCCATCCTGCCACAAGGTATTTACTAATTTCGTTTGTAATTGATGTCCTATATGTATATATATATACAAAATTTTAAACATTTCAGTGTTCATTCTATACCGACACCATATATAAATACATGTGTCGATTGATTTTTGCTCCTTATTCTGTAGATGTATACTTTTCATTTGTTCTGTTAATTATCTGCTGCAAAATGGCGTCTGTAGGAGTCTCGTTCGTAATCTGTTTCGGTAAAAATTAACATGACCATAAATAAACAAACGAAGTTTGTTTATGTGATACGCTTATGAACCTTCTGTCAAAGATATGTAAGTCGAACATGAAAGCATAACGAAACTTGGTTTAAGTCATCTCTTAATGTTCACAGTATTTTTTTAGAAAAAAGGAGATCCAAATTTTTGGCAGTAACTCATAAGTTCAGAATTCGGCTCCTCACGATAAGTAAGTCCCTTGTATCATAAATATCTTCTTATCTTTCGGACATTCCGCGGAAGATGCGAGCCTAAGCCGAGTTCTCGAACTTTCTCCTTGGGTAATTTATATCGTACCTTACAGGGGAAACTTATTACTCGTCGGACACCGATTCGGGTAAAAACACGTTTCCATGACTTTTCTGTACCAGACAGCGTAACGTTATTATTTTAGCCCTTTAGCTCGGCACAAAAGCCCGCCACATTAAAAAGCGCGTGGTTGCGAATTCTCTTTGACTAGCGGTGCACTCCGTTGTCTCCCGGCTTGTCTTCTACTAGAGGCTGATGTCCCACTACTTGCTAATTGGAAGAAGCGCCCGCTAGCTAAAAATTCATCTTGGTTGACGTTAGCTTCGTGCTTGTGTTGTTTTTATCAGCACTCTCATCAATGTTGGGGATAGCAAGGCGTTGCTTCTGCAAACTGCTATGGAAAGGTGTCGCAAGCGCAGGGCTAAAAGTCCTATCTTCCAATGCACGTGAGTGTTTTAATACACGATAGTCTCCCAGCGACAACTGCATCACACATATATACATTTACATATACGCTAAAAACAAATGGCTTTAAATAAACAAACGGTATTACAGAGAATTGTCTATTCTGTTAGTAGAACCAGACCGACTGTGACGTTTGGCGCCTTTTATAACGAGTTCATTTACATTCCACACTGGTTTCGCGCTACGCATTTCAACCTGTTGAAATACATCATTCGAAGGACGACCACTCCCACTCGGAAACGGTATCTGAGACAAAGTCTTATGTTGCGTTAAATTAGTGTAAAAGTTGTCATATGTAAGAATTGAATTGAGGGACACTTAGTGAGGTTGTCTGGGTTCTCATGCTGAAGGAGACATATTTCTTGCAGGAACGTTTGGAAGTAATAAAGAAAAAATCGAAACATCTGGGTAAAATTCGTGTATATAAAGGTGATCATTTAGATATTCACTTAATAAAAGTACCGTATACAAAAATGTTTGTTGTTGCTCCCACGACGTGTTTTAATGTTGCGTACGTTATTCTCTCTTTTCCAACTCTCCATCGAGGCTTTCTTAGTTACGATCTAGCTTAGTAAGTTCGCTTTATCCACTCGGCCACGCAATCACACTGACGCGCACTTTATTGCCGGAACCAATAGCACCCTTTAGTAATGCATAATTTACGCTTAAATTTCCCGCGCTGCTGGCCCACCAGAGTTAATTAATTTGGACACTTCGCGGGAACGCTTGAAATGGCGAGAAAGCAGGAAGTAGCGCAGAGAAGGCCTGTACAAGAGATATCTATAAAGCCAAAGGCTAGTGAACGGATACATATCTAAGCACGTTTTTCACTGGCCGTCGTTCTCTCTTACTCAGCGCGGTAGCCTCGTCCAGCTTCCAGCAAACTTCTATTCGTCGTATTTTTTTCATACTCCCTATTCCGTCGCCTTGCCCGCTCCTTTTTTCTCTCTGCTTGGTTATCTTCGCCATGGGCTGAATAGCTTCCGAATTCCGAGCAGTTTCGACAACAACGAGAACTAGCTGACGCCCATTGACGGCTCAGCTGCTCCGCTTTTGGTGCTCAGCTCCAGTCGTTAGATCTCCGTTGGCCTTTCGTGTTCTGTGTTCTTGTTAAACACAACATTAAGATCTTTTTTCCTTGCACACAGCTGTTTAAGAGAAAAGGGTTCGTTCTGCCATTCTTTCCTCGCACTTTATCGTCGAGTAGTAAGCGACCCCCGAAATTCGTCCTTTTTGAGCAGACAACCCGAGAAATCTGAGCTATTTAGCTGGCTCACCATTACTAAAACTGTCGCTGCCGTAGCCGCTGCTCGTGCTACCTCAAAAGTAGTGAACGAAGCTATTCCGGCTGGGCAACTACAGTCCTCATATGCCTGTTGGAAGGGCAAGGTCGGATCATTTGTTTTGTATTATAATTCACTTCCACTGTCGTTGCTTCTGTTGTTACTTCTACTACCCGGGCCTTCAGATCCATCTGATGCAGTCAAACATGGCAACGCGAATCTAGTTACTTTGTACCTCTTCTTG